GCGGGGCGCACGTGCGTGTGTTTGTGTCGGGGCCGGCCCGTGCGGCGGCCGCGCGCGGGGGGTCCGCCGGTGTGCACCAGCGGGGCCCTTCTCTTGGTGAGCCTGTCCCAGTGCTAAGCCGGTGACAGAGACAATCAGGAAGGGGACACTGGCCCTTAATCGCTTCTACTTCCTCCATCTTCCCCCTCCTTCTTTTACACCCCCTGCCCCCCAGCCTTCTTACCCCCAGGTACCCTTCCTCCGACTCGAACTGCTGGCCGGAAAAGTTTGTCTCTCTGGAGTGAATTTGCTGCAGCTAAGTCCAGGGCAAGAGGCATCACATGTCTCATTTTTCCAAATTAAACAAATCTGGCTCGGCTCCCGCCTGTCGGCGTTGGCGGGAAGTTCATTAGTTAGCTTTTGAGGTCCCTCCTCCCTTCTCTCCGGGGCTGAAATCCCAAAAATTTGGGGAAGGGTTCGTTTTGTTGCCTTTTCCCCTGCAGTCTTGATGCCACTGGCCCATAATTCTTGGGGTACCCGAAAGGCACAGCTCCATAGCCTGCATGCCAGCTGAGCAGGAGGGGGACAGGCTCCTCCTTGGACTCTTGAGTCTAGGCCCGTTACAACCCATGCAGCTTTCCCCATCCCACCGCCTAAATACCCAGCAGGGTCTGCGTGCAAGCCAGGGACAGGTTTCCATTCCTAGAAACTCCAAAACCCTTACCAGCCTGAGGGAAGTAATTTATCCCTTCGGTCTGGCCACCTGCCCTCTTCCTGAACCGGTTTCCCCTGGCCTTATGGAGCAATTCCAGCAGAGTTTCTCTGTTACTTAATCCTCAAGATGAAGGCCAGTGGTGGGCTGGGGGTGCCTTTTCTAGGGTGGCCCCTGAAACACAAGCTGTTAACCAGTATATGTTGGTGGGGTGGGAGTGGGATAATAGGATAGAGAAAGACCCGAAATCTTACAATTTAAGATTTGTAGCTATTTTTGAGAAGGTGGACCCTGAGGGAGAATTTACCATTTTATTCCTTCTAGTCTTTTGTCACAGCAAGACCAAGACTGAAATTGATGTTTCAATAGATTAGCCTAAATTTTAAAAAGAATTTATATCTATCACATATATTTTACCATGAATTTAAGTGTATGTATTATCTCTTCAAGGGATATTACCATGTTACCCTTATACATATTGTGAAAAAAGTCTTTATTTTCATGCTCGTGTCAGGCACTGGTGAAAAGCTAAAGAGAGTGTTATTTTTGGAGGGCAGGAAAGGAGGAATCCTGAAATCACAATGGATCAATTATCTATTGCTGTATAACAAATTACCCCGAAACAGTATTATAGAGGTTTACTATAACATTGGTGAGGAGATAAGGGTTGAGACAAACTGGATAACCAACTGAGTGGAATGTGTCAACAGTTTTAAAAACCCATGGCTTGGGCCTGGGCATTTAGCTCAGTGACACAGTGCCTGCTTGGCAAGCTCAAGGTTGTGAGTTCGATTCCTGATACTGGAAGAAAAAAGAAAACAAAACCCATGGCTTGCCAATTGAGCAAGATGTCTCCCAAAAAGAGAGGACATGATCAGAATATAGAACCCAAAATGATTCCATGATTGCTGAGCACTGTACAGGGAGCCAATCAGAAAGAAATATTTTCAACACTTCATTTGAATCTTGCATTATTTGCAGGACCAATCAGAAGATACTATTTTTAGTCATTTACATGTAGGCACAACCAATCAAAAGACACTCTTTCAGATCCTTCACTTACTTCCGGCAAGAAAACAAACAAATCTTTCTATAGGACAGTTTATACCTGGCATGAAGCCAAGTAAGTTTTTGATAGGACAAATATCCGAATGCCTTATTTGCTTAAGGGGAAAGACAACCTGGACATTTGGGATATTAAAGACCCCTTTCCCCTTATCGCTGAGGCTACTGTGAATTTCTTTACCAACTCACTCTTGCCCTGTAGATGTTCTTCTTTTCTGTCCTCAACAAAAGTACACCCTCAGTGCCTTTTCTGTGTGTCTTATTCAGTTCTTAGTTTGGGGCACCAAGGACCTGGGAAGAAGCCCTACAAGACCCCCACAATCTGGTAACAATATGATAGATTATTTTACCCTTTCTGTTGGTCAGAGGTTTGGGAGTGGCATGGTAGACTGTCCTAACTTGGAGGTTTCTCATGTAGTTGCAAGTACGTTTGTCAACGGGAGTTACAGTCATTGGGAGGATGAACGGGAGCCAGAGGACTGACTTCTGCAGAGGATCACTTGCATGTATTCCTTATGTGGCTGGCTATTGGCAGGAAACGCTGGTGCCACCCCAGCAGACTGTGCATGTGCCCTAACAGCATGTAGCTGACGTCCCTCAAAGCCAGAGCTCCAAGAGAAAGCAAGACAGAAGTCACAATGATTTATCTCTTTAAAATTTTGTATGTTACCTCTGCTTTAGTCACATAGACAAGTCCTGTTCAATATGGAAGACTACACAAAGACATGAGTTCCAGAAACGGAGGATCATCGGGGGCTATCTTGGGGCTGCTTATTACACACTTATCTCTGAAATCCCACTTTTTTAGTATTTAAAAATTTCAAACATATACAAAAGTCAAGAAAAGAATACAATAAACTTCCATATAGCCATCATCCATATTCTATAATTGTGAAGGGTGCACTTTTGCTTCCTAATACTTTATTTTGTACAGGTATCCGTGATGAACACATCCTCTTCCCACTTACCCCTCACCCCCATATCGTATACTTTCTTTAAACCCCAGTGTTCCTGGCTCTCTCCTCTCCCTACCCTCTTTCTGCTATGTTTAAAAGGTATAGGAGAGACACATACAAAGAAAGCAATAGGCCCTTTAGACTGGAGACTAATTTTAAGAGTGGTGACTATAATTTGGGGGGGTCACTGCAGACAGGCTCCTCAGTTTCTTTTTTAGCTTATCTGGAAGGAAGTATGCCTTTTAAAAAATTTAACATGCATACAAATCACCTGGGCTTCTTTTTAACACAGAGATTCTGGCTGGGCATGGTGATATACACCTCTAATCTCAGCACTCAGGAGGCCAAGGCAAAAGGATCTCCAGTTCAAAGCCAGGATGGACAACATAACAAGATCCAGTCTCAAAAAACAAAAAATGAAAAAATCCCAGAGATTCTGAATTGTTATGTCTGGGGTAGTACCTGAGGTTCTGGATCTCTAACAAGTTAACAGGGCAATGCCAGTGTGAATAATCCAGAGACCACATGTTGTGTAGCGAGGGTCTAGAGTTGTGCTAGCAAAGTAGGTAGCCACTACACATATGTGATCAAGTTAATTTAAATTAAATAACATTACAAATTGTTTCTTCAGTTTTCCTAACCATATTGCAAAGGCTCCGTAACCACGGTGAACAACAACACATCATCACAGAAAGCTCCACTGGATGGCTCTGGCATATAGAGAGAATTGACTCATATAATAACTTTCCTACAGCTGCTTTTTAGACCAGAACAACTATCTATTCATTCACAACAAAAGAGAACCTGCCCAGGATAAATAGCAACAGATTATTTATAGTCAGTATTTACTTCTGCTCACTCGAATGGATTAACCCAGTGTTCCTACACACAATTTGAAAGGTTGTTTGGTTGGCTCAGTAACTGAGCAAAAGGGGTTGGAAATATCTGCCCGGCTAGGAGACTAGATGAATTGCTTTTCTCCATACTAGAAGTGCTTTTTTTTTTTTTTCTTGCTGACTAGTACTGGACTTTAGAATCAGAGCAAAGGGGTCTGGGGATATAGCTCAGCAGCATAAGTGCCTGCCTGGCAAGTGCAAGGTTGTGAGTTCAAT